AAGTAAGAAGGTTTCACTTCTTTTAGGTCGGGATAAGGCCAACTCCATTTCCTGGGTGAGCTTCTTTTTGTTTCTTTTGTTTTTATTGTTTCAATTTATGCAAGCGCTCAAAAGTTCCTATCGTCTGAACTGTTCCAACTTCCAAAACATTTATATCGAGTTCAAACAACGAAAAAAGAAACATAAAGAAACTCACCTAGGAACCAAAACACTAATCATTTTACGCAACATCAACAGGTGAAAACTTTATAACCTCATGTATAAGCTCGACGAATGAAAAAAGAAACAATAAAAACCTACCCTAAATGAAGCTCTCACGCTTTTTGCTCATTTCTATCCTGAATCAAGAAAGAAAATAGAAAACAAAAGCCATTAAGATGGGTTCACCTTTCTTTCAAACCAAGCTTCAGTACCTGAGAAAATTGCAGTTAAAGGAAAAAAAAGCATGAAATTGAGTCGCTTCTTCCCAAAAGCCTTCGGAGCGCAAGTAATAGCGTTGGGGCGCGCTCTGCCATGTACCGACGATCGCGGCGATCGCCGAGGTCGCCGAGGTCCCGCGATCGCAGCTGCTGTCGCGAAGTATGAACGGAGGAGGAAAAGGGGGAATTAAAATGGGAAGGACGATATACTCATAACGCGGGACACAGCATCAGTAGGCGTTGATTTCAGCAAATGATATAAAGGGGAAGGTGGAGACCGAGGCTGACAGGAAGCGATACCAGTTGATAGGGGCTAATAGAGAACGTTGCAATTGTTGTAGTCAAATGCTGGAGCCTCTACACCACGAAATTATGGAGTTTTAGTGATAGCGACATTGATGACGGGTGACAAGCAATTTTATCAATTGATAAGAAAAGATAAGGGGACATTCTCACGACATCTATGACCACTACACTGCCAAGTAATAAAGTCTCAGTAAGCGAACTTTTTCTTCAGCCATCACTTCTCTGATAGCACTGGAAATGAAATCACCCCATCCCACTATCGGGGAGAGGGGAGGGGTGTATGTAGATCGCCTGAAACAGGAAACTCAGGAAAACTTCGATGAGTACCGGAAAAACCTGAATAATGTGGCACTTCTATGCGTTCAATAGCTTTTTTTTACTTCAAACTTTCAATTACTGGTGAGTTACTGATGAGAACGAATAGTAAAAGGGTGCAGTACCTACTACTCTGTACTTCAGCAAGTGGACTGCATGGTAATTAAAAGGGGAGCGTTCATCGGTAGGCATTTCGGTGCAGGTAATGGAAACAGAATTTGTTCTTCTACTGAGCGGTTCATATTGCTATTTATCGACTGCACTTTGTATCTATATCTTTAGATCTATGTATTGTATGGGCGTTATTACGCGTACCGCAAATATAAGCGTGTGCTAAGGGGTGCAGGATCCGCAGGGTTGCTCTATATGATACGATTCGACCATTACAGCGCCGTATGAGCAGCCCAGTAATTGAAAAGTTCCGTTTCCATTATGGAGCGCGCCTGGCGAAGCCAGGCCAGCTCGGCGAAGCCGAGCTAAAGAGAAGGAGGAGAGCTCGGCGTCAGCCGGGCGATCCGACTGGTCTGTCCATATTCTATGAGTGTCTTTCAACGAAGTGACGGAGCATATCCATGCAATATCATTTTCGACGAGAAACTTGGTTTTCGAAAAAAGTCTACATTAATACGGTAGGATGTGTTCTTAACCCATTGGTGACAATGTCTGGTGGTGGACGTCGATATGTAGATTTTGGACTATGTCCACCATGTGTGGCGGACGGGGTTTTCATAAAATTTTTAGGAGCAGTTCCATTTCTTCAAAGGAGTGTACCCGATAGGAGCAACTCTACATACCTTTCTTAATATAGACAAATAGTGAACCAACGAAATCTTCGCTAATAAGGGTCATAGGCACGAGTCAACTAGCAACACTTAGACTCAAAATTTCTCAAAAAAAATCTGCTGAAAACTCGCCTGTAAGGGGTACTCAGTGCCCTGATCACGATATGACTTAAGGCACTCACCCACTCGACGTGGGTGCCGGCGCCACTTGGCCTCTACCGCTTCTTTCAACCCAACAATTTGGAAG